CAGCTCGGGTGGCCAGGAGCTGGCAAGGAGGGGACCGGCTCTGAGCAAAGGCTGCCCAGGAGATGGGTGCGCTCGGCCGGGGCGTCCCGGAGCCGAGCCCTGGCGAGGCCGTGGGCATCCCGGGGTGGCCGGGAGTGGGAAGGGGGCTGCCGGGTGGTACCTGCTCCTGCAGCTCTCGGTTCCGCCTCTGCAGCTCCTGAACCTCAGCCGCGAGATCCTTCTTCTCCACCAGCAGCCAGGAGATCCTCTCTTGCCGGCCTTGGCAGGTCTTGGAGCCAAAGGAGGAGAAAGAGAGTGAGAAAAGGGGAAGGCAGCCCTCTCCCCTGCCGCCGCTCCTGCGGTGGAGCAGACAGGGCCGAGGGGACAGTCCTTCCCTGCAGGCACCAGCTTGGGGGTCTGGGCTTGGTGGACCCTCAGGGCACGTCGGCAGCTCTCCTGCAGCCCCCTCAGCACCACGGCCCTGCTGCAGCCTCCCAAATCCAGGGGCTTAGTGCAGGCTAGCGGGAGCTGTAGCAAGCCCCATGCCCAGCTGGGTGTCCCTGGACCTTCCTGGCCCTGTCGCTAGTGACCTTGTTGGAAGCAGGTTCTAGGAGCAGATCCAGGGGGACATTAACCTGGTAGAAATCATGCCAAATTTTGCAGTGGTTTGTGGACCAGCATTGCTGGGCTGACCGAGGCTGGAAGTGGAAAGATGGCTTTTCACCGTCGGAGCAGGCTGGCTCTGGAGCTAGCTCCCACGGGGAGCTGGACCTCTCGCCACCAGGGGAGGGACCTGCACCTGGTTTTGGGGACCACCTGCAGCAGGGTTACTCTGGATTGCTTCTGGAAGAAGACCCTGCCAGCCCCTGCACTGCTTCGCAGGCCTCCCCAGCAGCTCCCCAGGGTCCCTGCTCCCTGTAGGAAGCTCCCCAGCCGTCCCTAAGGGACGAGGCATCCCCAGGACCGGCGCTACTGCTGGAGCGGCGCGACGCCCCGGCCCAGCTCCGGCTCTGAGCCAAGCCGTAACGATGGGCAAGTCAGCGGCAAACGGCTGAGGCAGCAGAAACTCCGAGTATGGAGAAAGAGGATGGAAAAGAAGAAGTTCGGGCAGCAGCATTTTCATTTCATCTTTTTTCCTAGTATCATTTTCTTTTTGTCCTTTCGGCCAGGACACAAAGTGAAACTGTAGGACCGAACTGAGCAACTTTAGGTGGCACCGGGCCAAGGCAGAGGGGCCAGGGTGTTGCGGCAAGCTGAGGGCCAGCGCGGTGGCTTGGCTGCCCGGGGGGGGGTGGGCTCCTGCCCTTGCACGGACCGGCTTCGGCAGGGGTCTGGTTTTCTCTTGGATTTGCTGAGCTCACTCTCTGCTCAGCGGTTGTTAATTTAGAATCAGTATAGGGTCTGTCATAATTACTATTAATTAGCTAATTTGAGCACGTCATGAAGTGGAACCGCCTGAACCGTCATGCATGTGCTGAGAGTGTGCAGAGTAGGGACTCTCTCCTGATCATCTAGGGCCGAACTCAGGCTTTGGAAACCTGCCCAAAATGGGATCAACTAGAGGTAGAGAGGCAAAAATCAGAGCTCAGCGCCGGCAGCCGGGGATGCCACCCGGGCAGCGCAGCCCTGCAAGCGCCTTGCCCGGCGTTCCTGGGACGTCCCCTGGTGCCAGCAAGGCTGAGGCCGGGCTGGGAGCCCCAGCTCATCTCACCTCGGAGCTGCTGCCCGCAGTGCTGGGCAGGGTCGGGGCCGGGCTCCTCCTCGTTGGCCGCGTTGGCCACCTCCTCGGGGAGCTGGCCCACGGTGGGCAGCAGGGCCAGGCTGAGCCGCTTGAGTTTCGTGTTCTCCCGTTTCACCTGGGGGGGCGAGACGGAGCCCGGACCGTCATCGAGGGCACGTGGGCGGCAGGTGACAACGCATCTACCCCGGCGCAGCGCCCTCAGGCTCAGCCTCTAAGACCAACGGGTTGTTTTTCCCCACGCCTGGACTGATGCGCTCCTGACCCGCTGCTCGCTCCTGGTCTCGGGCTGCCGGGCACGGAGGGGTCCCCTCCGGCAGGGACACGCGGCAGCCTCAAGGTTCCAGCTCCTAATGCCAAACAAGCTGGATGCAGCAGGGGGA